GGAGACAGGCAGGGCACGGTGGCTCAAGCCTGTAATCCCAGCCCTTTGGGAGGCCGAGGCGGGTGGATCACAAGGTCAAGAGATGGAGACCATCCTGGTCAACGAGGTGAAACCCCGTCTCTACTACAAATACAAAAATTAGCTGGGCATGGTGGCACGTGCCTGTAATCCCAGCTACTTGGGAGGGCGAGGCAGGAAAATTGCTTGAACCCAGAAGGCGGAGGTTGCGGTGAGCCGAGATCGTGCCATTGCACTCCAATCTGGGTAACAACAGCGAAACTCCGTCTCAAAATAAAATAAAATAAAATAAAATAAAATAAAAAGATAATAAAGGAGACAGTACTAGGTGTAGGGGCTTAAGCTTTCACAAAAGACATACAACTTATAGATATGGGGGCTCTGGGTACTTAGCAACAGCTGCATTCCCAGGGGCTGCTGGTACTGCTTAACTCGGTATCTTATCAGCAAATGCATTCCTGGATGTGCCTGGTGTCATCCTGCCCCAGACATGCGCTACAGCTACATACTTAATGGAGGGAAAATAACTAGAAGTGAAGAAGCTAAGATGGGAGTTTGTCCAGCTTCTTTAATTAAGAATGAGTTAGTAAGGCCAACACAGGGTAGGATAACACAGTGCCACCATGACCAGCTAATTTTTTCTACTTTTAGTAGAGACAGACACATACTGGTCAGGCTGGTCTCCTGACCTCAGGTGATCCATTTGCCTCAGCCTCCCAAAGTGCTGGGATTACAGGCATGTGCCACTGCCCAGCCATACACTTGGAATTTTTAAGCTTTCCAGGTAATTCTGAAGTACAGTCAAGATTGAGAACAGTATTCCAGGGTTTGGCAACCAAAAAATGTATATATATTGTGAATGACTAGTCTCATGGAACACACATGGAAATGTTGTTTTTGCAGAAAGCTATAATGGAGTTGGAGAAAGGCTCACATTTTTACTTTACCTGCCTCTGTACTGTTTTACTTCCTTACACCTAAAGATGAGAGAAAAGTTCTGGATCTTGATTTCGGTGGTCACTGAATGAATTTGAACATTTTTCAAAATTCAATGAACTATACCCTCTAAATTTGTCCATGACTTACTGTATGTAAATTTTACCTCAACAAGGTCAATTTAAAAAACAAAAAAAGCAAACGAATGAGTGACACTCCAAGAGGATTTTATGCTCCTCTGCTGTGGCTTGCTGCTCACTTGAGGTAGCCATGAGAAGCACTGAAGAGGGATAGAGCCTGGAGGATCTGGCAGTCCATGCCAAGGGTAAGAAAGTCTGAGCTAATTAATGAGTGACAAGATGGACATCAAGGAGGGTTTGAAATCACCCTGTAAACCATTTGGATATGGGCTGCAGGTAGGGAATGTCAATTTCAGTCTAAGAGACATAGGAAACCACCAGTGGCTTAGACAGTGGAGACTGAGAAGTGATCAGATTCTGGGTTTATTCTGGAAGGAAGCAGCTCTCAAAGCACCAGTTGATAAACTGGATGTGAGCTATGAGGGAAAGGAAGGAATAAAGGATGACTGCCAGGTTTGCAACAGAGCTAGTGTGGACTGTGGTGAATTTGAGATGAGAAAGGCATGGGAGCAACAGATTTGGTAGAGGAAAGAGAAAGTCGTTGCTTCTGTTTCAGTCATGTGATATTTGAGGTGCTACTAGACATCCAGGAGATAACAGCTACAAATAGAGGTGGGAGCGATATGGGTCCTCACCATTTTATAGAATGCATAATACATGGTATTAGAAGCCATAGAACTGGATGAGGCCATGCAGAAGTGACTGGAAGTAAGTCCTTAATTTCTGAAATTAACACAATTTGAATATTGCTTAGAATCATAGGATTATTCCAAGTAAAGAACCAAGAAAAAAAAAAAAAGAATCATAGGATTAGAGCTGGGTGGAATGGCTCACGTCTGTCATTCCAGCACTTTGGGAGGCCGAGGTGGATAGACCAACATGAGATCAGGAATTCGAGACCAGCCTGCCCAACATGGTAAAACACTGTCTCTACTAAAAATATGAAAATTAGCTGGGTGTGGTCGTAGGTCCCTGTAATCCCAGCTATTGGGGAAACTGAGGCAGGAGAATCACTTGAACCTGGGAGGCAGAGGTTGTAGTGAACTGAGATCATGCCACTACACTCCAGCCTGGGCAACAAGAGCAGACTCCGTCTCAAAAAAAAAAAAAAAAAAAAAAAAGTGACTGTAGTCATCTGTCTTCCAATACTTAACTTTCTTTTTTTTTTTTGAGACGAAGTTTCGCTGTTGTTACCCAGGCTGGAGTGCAATGGTGCGATCTCGGCTCTCCGCAACCTCCGCCTCCTGGGTTCAGGCAATTCTCCTGCCTCAGCCTCCTGAGTAGCTGGGATTACAGGCACGTGCCACCATGCCCAGCTAATTTTTTGTATTTTTGGTAGAGACGGGGTTTCACCATGTTGACCAGGACGGTCTCGATCTCTTGACCTTGTGATCCACCCACCTCGGCCTCCCAAACTGTTGAGATTATAGGCATGAGCCACTGCGCCCGGCCAAAACCCAGAAATTTCTAAATAAAAAACATTTTAAACTATTCCAACCACTAAGAAACTTCAATTCCCAGGCCAGGCATGGTGGCTCATGCCTATAATCCCAGCACTTTGGGAGGCCGAGGTAGGTGGACCACCTGAGGCCAGGAGTTTGAGACCAGCCTGGTCAACATGGTGAAAACCCGTCTTTTGTAAAAATAGAAAAATTAACCGGGTGTGGTGGCAGGTGCCTGTAATCCCAGCTACTCAGGAAGCTGAGGCAACAGAATCACTTGAATCTGGGAGGCAGAGTTTGCAGTGAGCAGAGATCACACCACTGTACTCCAGCCTGGACAACAGAGCGAGACTCCATCTCAGAAAATAAAGAAAAAAAAAAAGAAACTTCAGTAACTTCAATTCCCTGGCCAGGTGCAGTGGCTCTCGCCTGTAATCCCAGCACTTTGGGAAGCCACGGTGGGTGGATCACATGAGGCCAGGACTTTGAGACCAGCCTGGCCAACATGGTAAAACCCGTCTCTACTAAAAATACAAAAAATTAGCCACGTGTGGTGGCACACATCTGTAATCCCAGCTACATAGGAGGCTGAGACATGAGAATTGCTTGAACCCTGGTTGGGGGCAGGCAGAGGTTGCAGTAAGCCGATATTGTGTCACTGCATTCCAGCCTGGGCAACAGAGTAAGACTCTGTCACTCCCATCAAAAAAAAAAAAAAAAAATTGCCAGGCATGGTGGCACATGCCTGTGGTCCCAGCTACTTGGGAAGCTGAGGTGGGAAGATTGCTTGAGCCTGGGAGGGCAAGGCTGCAGTGAGCCCTGTTCATGCCACTGCACTCCAATTGGGACAACAGAGTGAGACCCTGTCTCCAAAAAAAAGCAGCTTTCAGGTCAGGCACAGTGGCTCACACCTTTAATCCCTGCACTTTGTGAGGCTGAGACAGAAAGATCACCTGCAGTCAGGAGTTTGAGACCAGCCTGGCCAACATGGTAAAACTCTGTCTCTACTAAAAATACAAAAATTAGCTGGGCATGGTGGCAATGCTTGTGATCCCAGCTACTCAGGAGCGCCTGAGGCATGGGCATCATCTGAACCCAGGAGGCAGAGGTTGCAGTGAGCTGAAATTGTGCCACTGCACTCCAGCCTGGGGCAACAGAGTGAAACTGTGTCTCCAAAAAACAAAACAAAACAAAAAAAACCTCTTTCATTTCTCTATTATTCTTTTTTCTGTCTTTTGATTTCCAGGTGGTGTAGATTATTTTATACTATCCGACAAATGTAAGCAAATGATCAGGGAGATGACAATCAGTTATAAAGAGAAAACGTGGCACCAATAAATATAGATATCTCATAACTGTTTTCAAAATATAAATCTGGTAATGATCTACAATTACTGAAATTTTGCATGTGTTAGTTGGCTAAATGATTTTTTTTTTTTTAAAGAAACAAAAGTAGGCCAGGCACAATGGCTCATACCTGTAATTTTAGCATTTGGGGAGGCCAAGGCAGGAGGATTGCTTGAGCCCAGTTTGAGACCAGCCTAGGTAACATGGCAGGATCCTATCTCTACAAAAGATCGAAAAATTAGCCGGGCATTAACGGTCCCAGTTGCTTGGGAGGCTGAGACAGAAGGATCGCTTGAGCCCACGAGGTCAATCAAAGCTGGAGGGAGTCATGATTATGCCACTACTATACTCTAGCCTGGACACCAGAGGGTGTCTCCAAAAAAAAAAAAAGAAACAAAAGAGTAAATGTGAGCAATGTACAATTGAAGACCACTAGTAACTTCTCAGGAATTAAGGAAGTGACAATTTTAAGGATGATTTACAACCCTCGAGATACTAGATTCATTATGGAATCAGGAAAAATGTGTGCTTATAATCTTTAACCCAAATCGGAGGAATAGACTTAAATTATTATAATTATTCTTCATTACCCTGGTTCAAAATGAAATGACAGAAATCAAGACTTAATGAGTAATTTTTTAAAAAGTGTATGTGTTTTTAATGTCACAAGGATTAACCAAATTAGACTATATAAAAATCTGTAAGGAAATGTAACACCAAGCAAGATAACACTATAGTTTTATACTCTTTTAAGAAGACAAACCATCAAAATATGACAGTTACTGAGTTAAGTTAAAAGGATGTTTACAGTAACTCATCTAGACCACATTTGGGGGAAAAAGGACATTTATGATATCGGGTTGCATGTCTCAATTCTTCAGATCCCATTTTTATATCTAGTCATTTTGTTCTTGTTTGCTTAAAACATATTTCTAAAAAGTAAAAACTTGAAAGCAAAAAGTTCCAATTCTGAGTTTGGTATACAGCAATAAAAACTGTATAAATACCTTCCAATTTCCCATGTATGAAGTATTTCTCTGATTAAATACTTGTGCTGGAGTAAAACTTAAGATACTCAACAAGAAATGTTACAATGTGCAGACTTAACACTAGACAATTCAGTTTCTTTCATTTTATTTTTAAGATGACTTCATTTCTCAGGACAGATTGACACAAATACAAGAAGCAGTCTTTAGGCTGAGACCACGTTTATCTGCTCTCCTAAAAGCACTAGCTCAGCTCCCAAAGAATTACAAATCTGAGAAGTTAGAGGAAAAATACAGAATAGGGGTTCTGATTAAAGAAGAAAAAATCAATTAATGACATTGGTACTCTATTCTTCATGAGTCAGTACTAATATAAACTCAACCCTTTTAAATCAGGGAATCTGCCATTCTATTTCTAATAAAGTAGTTTTACAACCCCTAAAGTAAAAGAATTACATGAAGGTGTAAACCAATTTGCCTCCTTTAGAGACATTGCAATGTAGAAGACAAATTTTTTTTTGTAAGCTTCTCCTTCTCAGTTCTGCAGGCTTCATGGTACTTCAGAGCCCCAATAATCAAGCAGTTCATGACAAAAGATAAAGGTGAAAAAGTAGACACAGAGATCTGTGAAGACTTCACCCATTTTGCTATAGGTATCCATTGATCGATTGATCACTTCAGCAGGAATACCCGATAATAGAAGTGCAGCTGTTAGTACTGTTGTCTTTATCTTCTTTTCACTCTGTGCAGAGAAAGACTCAAATTAATATTCCAAGTTTCAGCAGACTACAAAAGCAATATAAAAAAAACATGGTCGATACTACTATTTTTACCTAAATGATTTAAAAACTGTTAATGACATTTCAAAACAATCAGTTATATACCAACATGTACTGACCATGTAATACGTAAATCATTGAACTGCTAGGGAATAGCAGACTTCAGTCTTGCTATTAAAAGTTTTTAAAAACTATCATCTTGGAAGCATGACATAAATAACAATTTATGATATATACAACAGTACTACATAAAACAAGAAAAATATTACTAGACAGGACATAAATAACTGCTAAATGACTGACATGGATGATGTGTGGCATAGGAAAATACATACCAGTGTTTTATGTAAATAAAGCACAGGGAGGACTTCAGAGGAAGCAGAATTAAAAACAGGCCTTCAGGCCAAGTGCAGTGGTTTACACCTCTAATCCCAGCACTTTGGGAGGCTGAGGCCAGCTGATTGCTTGAGCCCAGGAATTTAAGACCACCCTGGGCAACATAGGGAGACTCTGTCTCTATAAAAAAAAATTTGCTGAGTATGGTTGCGTGTACTTGTAGTCCCACCTACTCAGGAGGCTGAGGTGGGAGGATCTCTCGAGAGGTTGAGGCTGCAGTGAACCGAGACTACACCACTGCATTCCAGACCAGGCAACAAAGTGAGACCCTGTCTCAAAAAATAACTAAAAACAGACCTTCAAAGAGAAGCAGGCTTTAGACTGGCAGAGTGAAAGGAGAAATTTTTTGAAGGGTTAAGTCTCATGACAAGTCAGAGGCAGAAGAATGCTTGGAGAACTATGAGTAATTTGTAACAGAATTACAGGCACATCATGTAGGGCCTTAATTGTTATGCAAAGGAATTCACACTTGATTACACATGCAATAGAATATCACTGAACAATTCAGTATACTTCTGGGGGAAGAGAGAACATTTACTTAGTAATATAATTTTCTAGTCTCATTTTTTAAGGGATTAAAAGCTACATTTATCTTTAATTTATTGATTTATTATCACAAAATCCAATCATATGGTTTAAAATTGTTTTAAACATAAAAACCTATAGTTACCTAAGATAAATGAAAGCTTATGTTCACAAAAAGCCTGATACAAGAAAACTCTTAGTTTTAGTCATATTAACCCAAAACTGAAAACAACTAAGATGTCCATCTGCAGGAGCCTAGATAAATGGAGACAGTCATACAGTGGAGTATTACTAAACCAAGAAAAAAGGGAATTAACTACTGATCTATCTAACAACATGGATACATCTCAAAAAATATTATGCAGAATAGGCTGGGCTCGGGGGCTTATGCCTATAATCCTAGCACTTAGGGAGGCCAAGGTGGGCGGATCATGAGGTAAAGAGACTGAGACCATCCTGGCCAACATGGTGAAACCCCCATCTCTACTAAAAGTAGAAAAATTAGCTGGGCATGGTGACGTGCACCGGTAGTCCCAGCTACTCAGGAGGCTGAGGCAGAATAATTGCTTGAACCTGGGAGGCAGAGCCTGCAGCGAGCTGACATTGCACCACTGCACTCTAGCCTGGCAGCAGAGCGAGACTGTCTCAAAAAACAATTTTTTTTTTTACTTAAAAAAAAAAAAAAAAACCTTAAGCAGTAAATTTTAAGTTAATGTTATGCAGGAGGGGTGAGGTATACCAACATGTACACCTACAACATACTTTGAAATGCATCAAGAAAAATTAGATGGATTATCTTGGGTTTGAAAAATAAAAGAAAATCTGATAGATATGTAATATAATAAGATGTTAATTGTAGGATCTAGGTGGCAGATATTATATAGATGGGTGTTCATGGCACAATTCAACTTGTGTTTATGTTTTTGTTTTTTTGAGACGGAATCTCACTCTGTGTCCCAGGCTGGAGTGCAGTGGCTTGATCTTGGCTCACTGCAACCTTTGCCTCCAGGGTTCAAGTGATTCTCCTGTCTCAGGCTCTCAAGCAGCCGGGATTACAGATGCGTGCCACTACGCCCAGCTAACTTTTTGTATTTTTAGTAGAGATAGTGTTTCACTGCATTAGCCAGGATGGTCTCAATCTCCTGATCTCATAATCCACCCACCCTGGCCTCCCAAAGTACTGGGATTACAGGTGTGAGCCACTGCGCCTGGCTATTTATTTATTTTTGAGACAGAATTTCGCTCTGTCGCCTAGGCTGGAGGGCAGTGGTGCTATCTCAGCTCACTGTAACCTCTGCCACTGGGGTTCGAGAGATTCTCCTGCCTCAGACTCCCAAGTAGCTGAGATTACAGGTCCGCACCACCATGTCCAGCTAATTTTTGTATTTTTAGTAGACACAGGGTTTCACCATGTTGACCCCAGGCTGGTCAAGAACTCCCAGCCTCAGGTGATCTGCCCACCTGGGCCTTCCAAAATCTGTAATTACAAGTGTGAGCCACTGTGCCCAGGCAACTTTTGTGTTTAAAACTGCTGTAACAGGCCAGGTGCAGTGGCTCACACCTGTAATCCCAGGACTTTGGCAGGCCCGAGTGGGCAGATACCTGAGGCTGGGAGTTCAAGACCAGCCTGGCCAACATGGTGAGAACCCCCCATCTCTACTAAAAATACAAAAATTAGTTGGGTGTGGTTGCTCACACCTATAGTCCCAGCTACTTGGGAGGCTGAGGCAGGAGAATAAACCTGGGAGGAGGAGGCTGCAGTGAGCTGAGACTGCACCACTACACTCCAGCCTGGGTGACAGAGTGAGACGCTGTTTCAAAAACAAACAAAAGAAGCCAAAAAAAACAAACCCTACCATAACAAAATGCTGTTTGGTTGGGAGAACATATATATAGTGAAGTTTCCCTTTTCTCTCTTCTATTTACATAGTACCCATAAACATCTCTATCACACACATAAGTATTGTTAATAATTTCGTGTATATTCTTTCAGAGATTGCTTATGCATATATAAGCTAAATCAAATAATATATCATTTTTTCTTTTCAAAAGAAGTAAGTACACTATAAATTCTATTCTGAATTTTGATTTTTTTTTCTCTTAATATTTCTTGGAGACCTTACTCAGTACATTGAGAGTGTCTTCATTCTTAATAGACATTATAATTTTTTTTCAATGTAGTCACTCAGTGGACATTTAGGTTCCAAACTTTTGCTACTGTAAAACTACAATTGAGGTTTCAAAGGAAGGTGAATTTCTTTTTCTTTTTCTTTTTTTTTTTTTTGACACAGAGTCTTGCTCTGTTGCCCAAGCCGCAGTGCAGTGGCACAATCTTAGCTCACCACAACCTCCGCCTCCCGGGTTCAAACAATTCTCCTACCTCAGCCTCCCCAGTAGCTGGGACTATAGGTGCGCCACCACACCCAGCTAATTATTTGTATTTTTCGTAGACATGGGGTTTCACCATGTTAGCCAGGATGGTCTTGATCTCCTAACCTCATGATCCACCTGCCTCAGCCTCCAAAAGTTCTGGGATTACAGATGTAAGCCACCACGCCCAGCCTTTTTTCGTACTTTTAGGAGAGATGGGGTTTCACCATGTTGGCCAGGTTGGTCCGAATTCCTGACCTCAGGTGATCCACCCACCTCGGCCTCCCAAAGCTTAAGGATTACAGGTGTGAGCCACCATGCCCGGTCTAAATATAATACCTTTCTTAAACAAGTACTATTCAAACTCTGTCATGAAGGGCCTCAATCCACAGTAGACCAATATTTTCGTAAAACAGAGTAACGATGTTATGGCAATGTCAAATTGCTATAAAAGTTTCTAATTACTCATTTTTTGAACTTAATGTATCACAAACACAAACACATAGTTTGGAGATAAGTGGGCAAACCACACTTTGAGTAGCACCGATTCAGACCATAAATAGGACTAACATTTTAAGTTCCTTCAATTAGCTAGTCATAAATCAATTCAAATATATCAAAATTTAGAAAAAAAATTAATTTACCTTGGGAAAATATTTGTACAATCCCATGTACGCAAGTTGTAAAGTAAGAAATGGAGCAAATATGGACTGTGAAGATAGAAGATTAAAATTAAGTATTTCCAACATAAGCATTTAAAATCACAATAAATCAAACAGCAGCTATAAAATTCTAAGCAAAAGCTGTAAGAAAATATTATTATTATTATTTTTTTTTGAGATGGAGTTTTCCTCTGTCCCGAGGCTTGAGTGCAATAGCATGATCTTGGTGCCCAGCTTCGGGCAATTCTCCTGCCTCAGCCTTCTGAGTAGCTGCGATTACAGTCATCTGCCACCACACCTGGCTAATTTTTGTATTTTTAGTAGAGACGGGGTTTCACCATGTTGGCCAAGCTGGTCTCGAACTCCTGACCTCAAATGATCCACCCACCTTGGCCTCCCAACATGCTGGGATTACAGGCGTGAGCACCTAGCAATTATTTTTTTGTTGAGACAGGGTGTGGCTCTGATGCCGAAGCTGGAGTGCAGTGGCACAATCTCAGCTCACTGCAACCTCTACCTCCTGGGCTCAAGCCATCCTCCCACCTCGGCTTCCTCTGTAGCTAGGAATACAGGCATGTGCCACCTTTTTTTTTTTTTTTTTTTTTTTTTGTAGATATGTGAGTTTCATCATGTTGCCCTGGCTGGTCTCAAACTCCTGAGCTCAAGGAATCTGCCTGACTTGGCCTCCCAAAGTGCTGGGATTACAGGCATAAGCCACCATCCTTGGCCTAGCATATTAATTTTAATGGTTAAAAGTAATCTTGTTTATGCAGAACAGTGAAGAAAATAAGATATTTGATTTCCTAACATAAAATATGTCTCTCAATTCTTTAATATGCTTTCAGTGTCCCCAAAACTGTCTTCTCTCATAAAAACTTACCTTATAAATTATTTAAAATAATGGCTGGATTTGGTGGCTCACGCCTGTAATCCTAGCAATTTGGGAGGCTGAGGCGGGCAGATCACAAGGTCCGGAGTTTGAGACCAGCCTGGCCAACATGGTGAAATCCCATCTCTACTAAAAATACAAAAAAATAAGCTGGATGCGGTGGCTCCTGCCTGTAATCCCAGCACTTTGAGAGGCTGAGGTGGGCAGATCACAAGGTCAGGAGTTTGAGACTAGCCTGGCCAACGTGGTAAAACCCCATCTCTACTAAAAACACAAAAATTAGCTGGCTGTGGTTAATGTGTGCCTATAATCCCAGCTACTTGGGAGGCTGAGGCAGGAGAATCACTTGAACCCAGGAGGCAGAGGTTGCAGTGAGCCAAGATGGCCCCACTGCACTCCATCCTGCCTGAGCAACAGAGCGAGACTCCGCCTCAAAAACAAACAAACAAACAAACAAACAATAAAACAATAAAATTAACCAGGTGCGGTTGCACGCACCTGTAGTCCCAGCTACTTGGGAGGCTGAGGCAGGAGAATCGCTAGAACCCAGGAGGTGGAGGGTGCAGTGAGCCGAGATCACGCCACTTGCATGCCAGCCTGGGCAACAGAGCAAGACTGTGTCTTAAAAAAAAAAAGTATTAAATGATGACAGATGTTTAACACATTATGCAGTAACATCTCCCTCACCCAGAGGAAATTAAATGACGTCCAGCAAGCACACATAAAAGGCCTAGCACTGAAAAAAGATGCCATTCTTCCAGCTACTCAGAAGGCTGAGGCAGGAGGATTGCTTGAGCCCAGAAGTTCTAGTCCAGTCTGGGCACCAGAGCAAGGCCCTATCTCTAAAACAACAACAAAAAGAAAACTAAAATAAATGCTACTCATTCCTCAGACTTCAGGGCAGGGAATCAACTCACAGAGTTACCATCCCTGAGTCTCCCATGGCAAGCTATTCTTTTTTTCTTTTTCTTTTTTTTTTTTTGAGACGGAGTTTCGCTCTTGTTACCCAGGCTGGAGTGCAATGGCGCGATCTTGGCTCACCACAACCTCCGCCTCCTGGGTTCAGACAATTCTCCTGCCTCAGCCTCCTGATTAGCTGGGATTACAGGCATGCGCCACCGTGCCCAGCTAATTTTTTGTATTTTTAGTAGAGACGGGGTTTCACCATGTTGACCAGGATGGTCTCGATCTCTTGACCTAGTGATCCACCCGACTCAGCCTCCCAAAGTGCTGGGATTACAGGATTGAGCCACCACGCCCGGCCTCTTTTTTGAATTTTTAATTTTTTTTTAAATAAAATAAAGATGGGGTTTCACCATGATGGCCAGCCTGGTCTTGAACTCCTGACCTCAGGTGATCCACCCACCTAGGCCTCCCAAAGTGCTAGGATTACAGGCACGAGCCACCACGCCCGGTCAGCAAGCTATTCTTATTAGAGATAAAATGGCTGGGTGAACAAAATAGAAAAGATCAAAATAACATTCACATAATTCCTTTTTTTTTTTTTCCTGAGGCAAAGTCTCACTATGTCGCCCAGGGTAGAATGCAGTAGCATAATTTTGGCTCACTGCAACCACCACCTTCTGGGTTCAAGCAATTCTACTGTCTCAGCCTCCCGAGTAGGAGGGACTACAGGCACCCGCCACCATACCTGGCTAATTTTTCTATTTCTAGCAGAGATGGGTTTCACCACATTGGTCAGGCTGGTCTCAAACTGCTGACCTCAGGTGATCCACTCACCTTGGCCTACCAAAGTGCTGAGATTATAGTCATGAGCCACTGTGCCTGGCCACCACATAATTACTTTTAAATAAAAACTATTAGGCTGGGCACGGTGGCTCACGCCTATAATCCAAGCACTTTGGGAGGCCGAGGCAGGTGGATCACGAGGTCAAGAAATCGAGACCATCCTGGTCAACAAGGTGAAACCCCATCTCTACTAAAAATACAAAAATTAGCTGGGCATGGTGGTGCGTGCCTGTAGTCCCAGCTACTCGGGAGGCTGAGGCAGAATTGCTTGAACCCAGGAGGCGGAGGTTGCGGTGAGCTGAGATCGCGCCATTGCACTCCAGCCTGGGTAACAAGAGCGAAACTCTGTCTCAAAAAAAAAAAAAGGAAACTATTAAGAAGGGAGTGAAGTAGTAAACATTACTAGAATGCAGTACATGAGAGCCGCAAGAAGCGGTTGAAAATCTGAGAGCGAAAAAAATAGAAAACCAAAACAAAAAAAACTCACACAAAAATAGGACATAACCTTAAAAGCATGAAAGCACAGTACGCTTCAGATAGAGATAAAAAAGGGCTAGGCAGCTCACTAAATGCTGAAAGCATCACTGATCTTTGCATTACAGCAAACTATAATGACAAGTTATCATCAGCAAAAAACAAATCAAATCTGTTTAACAGATTCTATTTATGAAAACATTTGCATAAAAATAGATTTTAAAAATCGTTTTGCTTAATCATATAAATTTTAATTACCTGGATAATTTATTTATGTGCCTGGTACATATGCTTAAAATTTCTACTGTATGGAAAAACCTCAGAGCAAGACCCTGAACTGTGACCTATGCTTTTCTGCATTTTCCAACATACTAGAAAACAAAATGACCACATCATGGTACAACCAAAATGGATGTCATTATAATACTACATTAGGAAATGCTGAAATGTCTTCTGAACCATAGGACAATTACCTCATATTCAAGACCACAGGAACTGCATTTTCCTACTGTAAATTATTTGAAATTTGATTTCATATATATATATATATATATATATATATATATATATGGCACTTAACCCTTTGGTTAAGAAATGAAACTGCCTGGGTTTAATCCCAGCATCACTTAGTAGCTGTGTAACCTTGGGCAAATGATGAAACCTCTCTTGAGTCTTCATTTATCAATACATTCAAATAATACCAAGTTCATAAGAATGAGGATTAGATGAATTAATATAGGCAAAGCCATTAGAATGTACATAGCATGTAAAAAAGGGTTTCAGTACAGTCATCCCTCAGTATCTGGGAAGAACTGGTACCAGGTTCCTCCAGATACCAAAATCTATAGATGCTCAAGTCCCTTATGTAAAATGGCACAATATTTGCATGTAACCTACTCATTTCTAGATTTTTTGATGCCAAATACAACGTAAATAGTTGTTATTCTGTATTTACTTGTATTATTTATTACTTGTTATTGTTGTGTTTTTTTTTTCCCCCATACAGATATAGATATAGATTTTTTTTTTGAGACAGGGTCTCACTCTGTTGCCCAGGCTGGTATTATCCTGGCTCACTGAAACCTCCACCTTCCAGGTTCAAGCAACTCTCCTGGCTCAGCCTCCTGAGTAACTGGGATTACAGGTGCGTGCCACCACGCCCAACTAAACCCAGTATGTTTGATCCAGTGGGTTGAATTCACATATGCTGCAGAACCAACATTACAGAACCCATTGATATGGAGGGCCAACAGTAATTATTAGGCTCTGTATCTAAGCAGAACACCTCATTCTGTAAGATGAACAGCAAAGTTAATAATACATCTTCAAACAGCCACATGGATCTAGTAGATATTAATACTGGCAATGACTTCTATGGATAAAAAGCACTCGTAAACACTTTGCATTTTCCATTAAGTTAGTTAATAATTTATAGATCTTTTCTTACCAAGTATTTGCAAACAAAAGCTCTGACTCCAAGAGCAAGGAGAGCACATCCCACCAATCTAAATATTCGAAAAGAGTCAAATTCTTCAGTTGTACTTCCATCCTCTTGATTGGGTTTTTCACTAATCAGCTGTTTCCTTAGCTTCATTGCTTCTTCGAATCTGGAAAGGTACTGCTCTAGGCCATGGCGAGAACCCCTGTGGACCGTGTCCGCTGTCAGGTCCCCTCTGTTCCGCTGCCGGAGCTCAAGGTTGACATCATTACTGCACTCAGGTGGTTTAATGAAAGAGTCCAATTTGTCTCCCAGCTGGGTCCCCTTTACCTCGGCCATGCCACCCTGCTGGTCAGTAGTTCCTGTACTGACCGAATCACCCAGCACCACTCGCTTTGACACTGAAGGAATGCTGAGGGAGTTCAGTTTGTCACTGTCCTGCTGCTTTGATTTTGTTTGACTTTCTTCTTCTGACAAAAGAAATTTAAAAGCCTTATATATTTATTCAATACTGGCAAACACCTTACATGTTTATATTTTAAAATATGCTGCTTCGGGCCGGGCATGGTGGCTCACACCTATAATCCAAGCACTTTGGAGGCCAAGGCAGGCAGATCACCTGAGGTCGGGAGTTCAAGACCAGCCTGACCAACATGGTGAAACCCTGTCTTTAAAAACAAAATAAAATAAAATATGCTGCTTCAGCTAGAACTCAGCAGTCCCTGAATCAAAATAAATAAATACTGAGTCTGCATTAAAAGAAGCTTGTTTCTTCCTCTACATCCTCAAAATGTATCACCCAAAAAGAGTATTCTGCAGAGGAAATAACTCAAACGTTGTGGGTAGAAGATTAGTAGACAAACTGGGAAAGATATTCAGAGATGGAGCAAACTGAAAAGACCAACTTTTTATGGATAATATATCCCAGACGTATAATTGCATTATCTGCCTTAGCTTATTTGGTTAATAATATAAAATCAGTAAGCAGGGTGCAGTGGCTCACGCCTGTAATCCCAGCACTTTGAGAGGCCAAGGGGAGCAGATCACGAGGTCAGGAGTTCAAGACCAGCCTGACCAACATGGTGAAACCCCTTCTCACTAAAAACACAAAAATTAGCCAGGCATGGTGGCACCTGCCTGTAGTCCCAGCTACTTGGGAGGTTGAGGCAGGAGAATCCCTTGAACCCAGGAGGCGGAGGCTGCAGTGAGCTCCAATGGCACCACTGCACTCCAGCCTGGCGACAGCAAAACTCCGACTCCAAAAAAAAAATTACGCACACACACACACACACACACACACACACACACAAAATTAGTAAAGCCTTTAAAATCTATATTTTAAAATTAGATTTCTGAATCCAGTGCCCTATGACCATAGGGTGTGGCATATTCCCACAGCTACTGTTTTTGTAGTCAGCCAGCCATTAGTAGGTACTTCAGCAGTTTTAAGATGCTGCTCTGGTATTGCTTTTTTTTTTTAAGGGGGGGCTGGGCACAGTGACTCATACCTGTAATCCCAGCACTTTGGGAGGTCAAGGAGGGCAGCTCAGGTCAGAAGTTTAAGACCAGCCTGGCCAACATGGCAAAAACCTGTCTCTATTAAAAATACAAAAAAGGCCGGGCGCGGTGGCTCAAGCCTGTAATCCCAGCACTTTGGGAGGCCGAGGCGGGCAGATCACGAGGTCAAGAGATCGAGACCATCCAGGTCGACATGGTGAAACCCCGTCTCTACTAAAAATACAAAAAAATTAGCTGGTCATGGTGGCGCGTGCCTGTAATCCCAGCTACTCAGGAGGCTGAGGCAGGAGAATTGCCTGAACCCAGGAGGCGGAGGTTGTGAGCCGAGATCGCGCCATTGCACTCCAGCCTGGGTAACAAGAGCGAAACTCCGTCTCAAAAAAAAAAAAAATACAAAAAATACAAAAAAATCTGCCAGGCGCGGTGGCTCATGCCGGTAATCCTAGCACTTTGGGAGGCCAAGGTGGGTGGATCACCTGAGGTCAGGAGTTCAAGACCAGCCTGGCCATCATGGTGAAATCCCATCTTAAAAAAAAAAAAAAAAAAAAAAATCAGTAGCTAGGATTATGTCTGTAGGCCCAGCTACTCAGGAGGCTGAGACAGAATTGCTTGAACCCAGGAGGTGGAGGTTGCAGTGAGCTGAGATCATGCCACTGCAGTCCAGCCTGGGTGACAGAGTGAGAGACCGTCTCAGAGAGGGGGGACAAAAAAAGTCCAGGCACAATGGCTCACTCCTGCAATCCTGTAATCTTGGCTTTTGGAAGTCAAGGCTGGTGGAATCACTTGAGCCCAGAAGTTCAAGACCAGCTTAGGCAACACAGTGAGACCCATCTCTACGAAAAAAAAAAATATTTTTTAATTACCCAGGCATGCTGGCGTTCACCCGTGGTCCTAGCTACTCTGGAGGCTGAAGGAGCAGGATTGCTTAAGCCCAGGTTTGAGGCTGCAGTGAGTGAGCTATGATCATGCCACTGCATTCCAGCCTGGACTACAGAGGGAAACCCTGTCTCAAAAAACAAAACAACCTTTAAAGACACAAAATTTTCAAAGCAAAAGAACAAAATATAGGAAGTACTTCTCAGGTAAGATAATAAATAATGCTTCAAGAAAGAATACATAGCCTGATAGAAAAAAATGTTTCTTCTATTGTTCTAGAAGAATTTGAAATGGTTTTCTTACCTCTCATTTAAATCAACTAAAAGTTCAGGGCTATACACCCAAAGCCGTACAGAACAAAAGTCACAAAGATATAAGGAGCTTGCGACCAGTGACTAATGGCCAATTCCTAAAGAAAACAATGGAAACTTAGATAACACTAGGGCAACACACACGAAATAAAATTTTTTTAAGGAAAATCATTGGACATGTGTTTGGGGGAGGAATGAGGCGCTCTCCTTTAGAAATGTGTAGTTTGGGGCCGGGAGCGGTGGCTCATCGCCTATAATCCCAGCACTTTGGGTGGCTGAGGTGGATGGATCATGAGGTCAGGAGCTTGAGACCAGACTGGCCAATATGGTGAAACCCGGTCGCTACTAAGTATACAAAAAATTAGATGGGCGTGGTGACGTGTGCCTATAGTCCCAGCTGCTCAGGAGGCTGAGGCAGGAGAATCGCTTGAACCTGGGAGGCAGAGGTTGCAGTAAGACGAGATTGAGCCGGAGCAAGACTCCATCCCCCCCAAAAAAGCAAGCAAGCAAGAAAGAAATGCAGTTCCGGACACCAATCACACCAATCTCAGCTGATGAGGACAGGAAACCTCAGGTGTGCACGTCGCACTTGCTGGGTCTCTGAAGAATGCTCACTCTCACTTTTCCCACCTTTTCTAACCGGCCCATAAGTGATAGTGTTGAGGGCACCGAACACAGACACTAGGATATGACCACAAGAGTCCGTGATACACGTAGGACGGACTAGCGGGCAGTTCAGTAAAGACAAGCTGATGTAGGCAGACAAGAATTACACAGCAAAAGGCTAGAGAAGGCACCGTGAGGAAAAGCACTTGGAACCTTAAGAAGGAAGGCCACCTTCTTAAGGGGAGCAGCGGGCACAGCAGTCTGAGGATAAAACGTGCGCCCTTCAAGAAAGACGAGGGGTGGCTAAAGAAGAAAGGAGTTGTTGAAGGTAACTGGGCAGAGGGAGCCAGGGCTCTGCAGGCAGGGTGGGGAAAATCTCACGGCGAGGCCCCGGGAAAACTGAGGGGAGCGACCGGGAACGTCCTGGGATTCAGGAGTGAGAACTTGGGATAATCACCAAAGGGGCGGGACAGACAGGAGGTCAGAGAGCAGGGCTTGGTCAAAAAGGTCAGCGGAGTGGTGGTGGGGAGGGAAGAATTACCCTGAAGATTTAAGGGGATGGGCGGGAGACTGAGGGGAAGCCGAGGCTCTCACCGGCGCCGCTCCCGGGCCTGTGAAAGCCCATGATCCGGTTGATGCGTTGTTCCGAGTTCATGAGCAGCTTTCTCCGACGCAGCTCGGCCCGACGCTGGGAAGCCGACAGGCCTGAGCCCGCTGGGACCCCTGGCCTGTCCCCATCGTCGGTAGCGACGGCTATCGACTCCATCCTCCCGTCCAGTCTGGGAGGGGTGACAGTGGCGGCGGTGTCGGCAGCAGCTGCGAGGCCGATGACTAGGGTCTGGGCCGCAGGGCGCGCGTACCCTCTCCCAAGATAGACCCGCCCCCGAGCGCGGTGCCCGAACCTGAGAGCTAAGCACGCACGCGCCGCTTCGCGCTACCGAGCCCGAGGCGATGGCCGCCATCTTGAGTGAGGGCAGCGCGGCACGCCCTGGTCCCTCCCCGCCTCGTCCGGCCCTCACCCAACAACCCCCTCTGCTGTTCACTCGGTGGTGAAGAAAACAGGGACCCAGGGCTGGGCGCGGTGGCTCAGTCATGTAATGCCAGCATTTAGGGAAGCCGAGGCGGCGGATTACAAGGTCGGGAGTTCGAGACCAGCCTGGCCAACATGGTGAAACTCTGTCTCTACTTAAAATAAAAAAAAAAAAAATTGGCCAGGCGTGGTGGTGCGCGCCTATAATCCCAGCTTCTCGAGAGGCTGAGACAGGAGAATCGCTTGAATCTGGGAGGCAGAGGTCGCAGTGAGCCGAGATCACATCACTGCACTCCAGCCTGGGGCGACAGTGCGAGAATCTATCTCGAGAAAAAGAAAAGAAGAAAACCAACACCCTGCCGGAGGAGTGGGAAAGGGATGACAAAGACTAGACCAGCCTAGATTTGGTGCCGGAAAGTAAAATGGAGGTTGCAGCGGCCGCCTCTTGTTTACGGACCTGCAGACTCGCTTGTAGGCTATGGCAATACGTAACCCCAGGAGCCACGCTTAAAGGGAGCCTTGCGCTGGGTTTTGATCTTGGTGCCAGTTCTTCATCCTTGACTTCTCTACACCGTAGTATACAGCTGATGTGTTCCTAGGCGGTTCTCGCGTTTTTGTTCAAATCAGACTTTTCCAGCCTTTCGTCCCAAGCCTTTCAGGCTTGCTCAAATCAGACTTTCCCAGCCTTTTAGATAGATTACATTCTATCTAAATTGCCAACACTCCCCATTCCCCTTCTCCACCTTACTTTTTCTTCTTGTCATTTATGACCACCTAGCTTGCTAAAGATGCTAATTTTACTTATCCGATTCTCACTGACTAAAACGTAAGCTCCATGAACATAAGCATTGCATTTTCTTCACTGCTACACTTCGTGTCTAAACAGGCCTGAATTATTCAGTATGCACAGCTTTCAGGGCCCCCCATAGTCTGGGGAGGCTCACAAAAATGTTTTAATTTTAATTTGAAATCAGAAGAAGGCCGGGTGTGGTGGCTCACGCCTGTAATCCCAGCACTTTGGGAGGCCGAGGAAGGCAGATCACAAGGTCAGGAGTTTGAGACCAGCCTGACCAACATGGTGAAATCCTGTCTCTACTAAAAATATACAAAAATTAGCCAGGCATGGTGGTGCGGTTATAGTCTTCTGTAATCCTCCCAGAACACTGTGGCAGGAGAATCCCTTGAACCCAGTAGGCTAAGGTTGCAGTGAGCCAAGATTGCGCCACTGCACACTAGCCTGGGCAACAGGCTTAAAAAAAAAAAAAATTAGGTGGCCGGGCGCTGTGGCTCATGCCTTTGATCATCATAACACTTTGGGAGGTGGAGGCGGGTGGATCACCTGAGATCAGGGGTTCAACACCAGCCTGGCCAACATGGTGAAATCCTGTCTCTACTAAAAATACAAAAATTAGCCAGGCATGGTGGAGCGAGCCTGTAATCCCAGCTACTCCGGAGGCTGAGGCAGGAGAATCGTTTGAACCTGGAGGCGACAGTGCAATGAGCTGAGATTGTACCACTGCACTCCTGCCTGGGGCAACAGAGCAAGACTCCGTCTCATAAATAAATAATCAGAAGAAAAGACCGGGTGTGGTGGCTCATGCCTGTAGTCCCAGCACCCTCTAGACTAGTCTGGCCAACCTGGCAAAACCCCTGTATCTACTAAAAATACAAAAATTAATGGCATGTGCCTGTTGTCCCAGCTACTTGGGGGGTCTAAGGTGGGAGGATCACCTGAGTCTGGGGAGATTGAAGCTGCAGTGAGCCATGATCGGGCCACTGCACTCCAAACTGGGCGACACAGTGAGACCCCCGTCTCAGAAAAATTTTTTTTGGAAAAAAATAATATAACTGCTATATATAATGAATCCAATCTGGATTATCATTATCATTAATAGCAATACAGTCATAAAATATAATTTTAAGTATGTTTTCAGGCAGGAAGGAGCCACGAAGGCAAAAGAGTGTAGGGTCCTTGAAAGTCATAATGTAGCCTTAGCATTCAGTAATAACTTACTAAGTGAATGATTAGATAAATGAAGGAACTGAATCCATCAACCCTTGCTGAGAGGGAGCCATGGACAGTTCACACCTGAGGCTGCAGTGGGTTCTGAAGCAGCTTACTGGGTGGGCCCCCTGCAGCTAAGCTTGCCACGCAATCACCCTCAAAATAAGGAGGTGGGTGAAATACCACTTAGAAGATAATAAAATATTTATATTAATACTTAAAAAGAAGTGAAAACAAACAAGAAAGTTTGGTTTGGATTCAACAACATAAGGAAGTCAAAGAAAATAGACTGAACTTTCACCCTTGATGGAATGAAAGTTAAATTCCAGGGAGCACTCGGGAAGATGGCTGATCACTAGCAGCCGGGATTGTAGCTCCCAGTGAAAGCACAGAGAACGAGACGATGCCACACTTTCAGACGAATTTTTGTTGCTCATGGACCAGGAGATTCCCAGCGGAGGAGCCCCATGGGTCGCCAGCATGACTCTTGTGGCCAGCGTGGCAGTTTTGCTGGTGCCTCGATGCGGCGATTCTTGGTGCAGAGTAAACGGGACTGTGTCCTCTTTTGGTCAACATTTGGAGCTCCGGGAAGGCAGAGTTGCCTGTTCAGCTGATTGAAGGACAGACTCAAGAAGGAAGCCAGACTGGAGATGCCCAGGCAGAAAAGCACCATCAATCTTAACACTGCTGTTTTAGCCGGCACAGTGGATTGCTCAGATTCTGGCGCTGGGAATCAACAAGTTGGACGTCCACTCAGAGACCTAATTAGAAAGTCGGTAATTTCAAAGGCAACAGACGGATAAATTTATAATGATGGGAAGAAACCAGCCTAAAAAGGCTGAGAATACCCAAAATCAGAATGCCTCTCCCTCTACAGGGGATGACAGTTCCTCATCAGCAACAGAACAAGGCCTGATGGAGAACGAGTGCTTTCCATTAACAGAAGTAGGCTTCAGAAGGTGGATTATAACAAACTTCTGAGGCCAGGTGCGGTGGCTCACGCCTATAATCCCAGCACTCTGGGAGGCCAAGGTGGGTGGATCACGAGGTCAGGAGATCGAGACCATCCTGGTCAACATGGTGGAACACTGTCTCTACTAAAAATGCAAAAATTAGCTGGGCATGGTGGTGTACGCCTGTAGTCCCAGCTACTTGGGAGGCTGAGGCAGGAGAATTGCTTGAACCCAGGAGGCGGAGGTTGTGGTTAGCCGAGATCGTGCCATTGCACTCCAGCCTGGGTAATAAGAGCAAAACTCCATCTCAAAAAAAAAAAAAAACAAAAACTTCTGTGAGTTAAAAGAACATGTTCTAACCCAATGCAAAGAAACTAAGAACTTTGAAAAAAGGTTTGACAAAATCCTAACGAGAATAGACAATTTAGAGAGGAATATAAGTGAATTAATGGAACTGAAGAATACAATGCAAGAACTCCATGAAGTATGCACAGGTTTTAACAGTCGAATTGATCAAGCAGAAGAAAGGATATCAGAGGTTGAAGACCAACTTAATGAAATGAAACAAGAAGACAAGATTAGAGAAGAAAGAGTAAAAAGGAATGAGCTAAGTCTCCAAGAAATATGGTACTATGTGAAAAGACCTGATTAACGTTTGATAGGTGTATCTGAATGTTATGAAGAGAATGAATCCAAGCTGGAAAATATTCTTCAGGATATTATTCAGGAAAACTTTCCTAACCTAGTAAGGCAGGACAATATTCAACTCCCGGTAATACAGAGAACACCACAAAGATATTCCTCAAGTAGAGCAACCCCAAGACACATAATCGTTAGATTCACCAGGGTTGAAATAAAGGAAAAAATTATAAGGGCAGCTAGAGAGAAGGGTCAGGTTACCCATAAAGGGAAGCCTATCAGACTCACAGGAGATCGCTCAGCAGAAACCCTACAAACTAGAAGAGAGTGGAGCCAATATTCGATATCCTCAAAGAAAGAATTTTCAACCCAGAATCTCATATCCAGCCAAACTGAGCTTTATAAACGAAGGAAAAATAAAATTTTTCACGAACAAGTAAGCACTCAGAGATTTTACCACTATCAGGCCTGCTTTATAAGAGCTTCTGAAAGAAGCACTATACACAGAACGGAACAACCAGTATCACTCATCCCAAAAACTTACCAAAAGGTAAAGAGTATCTCCATAATGAAGAATATATCAACTAATGGGCAAAATAGCCAGCTAGCATTAAATGACAATATTAAACTCACAAATATCAATATTAATCCTAAATTTAAATGGATTAAATGCCCCAATCAAAGACAGAAAGGAAAATTGAATAAAAAGTCAAAACCCATCGGTACGCTGTATCCAGATCCATCTCATAAGCAAGGACACACAATGACTCAAAACAAAGCTTTGGTGGAAGACTTACCAATCAAATGGAGAGCCAAAAAAACAAAAACACAGGAGTTGTAACTTTCGTCTCTGACAAAATAGACTTTAATAGTAACAAAGACTAAAAGAAACAAAGGACATTATATAATGGTAAAAGGATCAATGCAACAATAGGAGTCAATGATCATAAATATATATGCACCCAATATAGGAACACCCAGATACATAAGACAAGTTCTCAATGATTTATAAAGAGACTTGGACTCCCGCACAATAATAGTGGGAGACTTTGACACCACATTGTTAATATTTGATGGATCAATGAGATAGAAAATTAACAGGGACGTTTATGATTTGATCTCAGACCTGCAACAAGTAAATTCAGTGAATATCTATAGAATTCTTTATCCTAGGTCCACAGAACATATATTTTTCTCAGTATCACATTACACCTATTTTGAAAGTGACCACATAATTGGAAATAAATCATTCTTCAGCATTTGCATAGCATTTCACAGACTTAAATGAAATATTGGTTGGCTGTCTGTTTGTTATTTTCTTCCCTTATTCCTTCCTGTCTCCGCTGATAAGTACAATTATTGGCATAAAAGAGGTTTTTAATACCTATTTTCAGACTGCATTCCAGCCTGGGCAAGAGAGCAAGATTCTTATTCTCTCTCCCCCTTTCTCTTTCTCTTTTTTTTCTTTTGAAAAAAGAAAAAAAAGTTTAGAGCCATTCATTTATCTCTTTGTTTAAAGAAACATTTATTGAGTGCCTTCTATGTATAATGAAATATGCTGGGTAATGTCTAATACAGAGCTTTTCTCAACCAGGTCTCCAGGAGAGAAATGAGTTTTCATAACCTAGTGCATCTATTGTATGTAATGAGTTAACATTTTTCCTAGGTATCTAGAAGGGTACAAGTTATGTACCTTCCTTGGGGAAATTAGAAAAGTTATCACTTAAGTAAGTTTCTGGGTTCTATGACCAGATAGGAAGTTCGGTTGAGAAAGTCTAGGAGGTGGGGGGCTGGGGGCGGAAAGAAAGTTAAATCCCAGGGACATGCACTAGTTAATAATTTTAAAGTAGGCTGGGTGCAGTGGCTCACGCCTGTAATCCCAGCACTTTGGCAGGCTTAGGTGGGTCGATCACGAGGTCAAGAGATTGAGACCATCCTGGCCAACATAGTGAAACACCATCTCTACTAAAAAAATACAAACATTAGCTGGGTGTGGTGGTGTGCGCCTGTAGTCCCAGCTACTCAGGAGACTGAGGCAGGAGAATTGCTTAAACCCGGGAGGTGGAGGTTGCAGTGAGCCGAGATCGCGCTACTATACTCCAGACTGACGCCTGGCGACAGAGCAAGACTCTGTCTCAAAATAATAATAATAATAAAGTATTAGAGGAAGTTCTTCTGCC